ATGTTAGTTTATACATCAGAAATCAAGCTCTGGTTTCCCTCTTTTTGGAAGATATGAATTGAGAGGTTACATAAGGGTGTAATAGGAGCTGTTACTTCCTTTCCCAGTTGAAGAGAAAAAGCTGTGGATCAGGTTACAGGCTCAAGAGCTGGTCATCACTACTACAGCTCTCCTAAATTTTTTGCCAGTAGTCCACCAACAAACAGGAGAAACTACTTAGATACCTTTCACTTCAAAGAAAGAAGGCACTGAGAATTTAAAAGACTAAGTACATAGCTATTGTGTGGGGGGAAGCCTTTATTTTTGCCTTTCATCGAGCTTGACATTCCCTAAGCTTGACACATACGTTCACTCAAGTCACCGTTTTCCATTTCGGTTTGTTCTTCATTAGCACAATAAAAAGGATGAATGAAATAGAAGGTAAGATTTATAGGGTGGACTGACACGTGAGCTGCACTAAATAAGCTCAGCACACCAAAAGAGCGCTTAACTTGGGCCGGTACATTAGCATTTGTCCCAGCTCTGACCACATAGGGCAAGCAAAAGGAGGAAACGCAGAGTGTCCAGATTGGCCTGCACAAGCACTAAGCTGTTCTCCAAACCATCCCACTTGCGCTTTCTTCACCTTCCTCTCCGATTCCCAAGCCACTGCTATTACTGCTGCCGAAGGAAGATGAGATCAGACTCCAACACGAAGAGTTTCTGTTCCCACAGAGCTCAGAGAAACCGGATGATCTCAGAAGATCATGTGAAGCAAGTCCATGACACTTCCATGAGGCAGAGTATCTCCAGTATATTGCCAGCAGTTTCTTAAGAGCGCACAGTGGGAAAAATTAATGGCTTTGCTTATGTTTCCTATTTCTCGCTCCCACTTCCTCCTCTCGTTTGCCAGACTTCTATTTTCCCTTCCCCCAGAAGCACTAGTAGGCTTGCAATGTACATTTGGTCTTCTAAAGGGAATTACATCAAGTCTTGCACGTTTGAAAGGGCTAACACACATAGCTAAATTAAACTGGCATCGTTTCCTCATGGAGTTCCTCCCCACAGATGTGATTTAACTGGGTCTCTTACAGAAAAAGGAAAGAAAAAAAGGCAAGTTTCTATGATCTAAGATGCGTTCATACGTTCTTTCACCTTCACCTGTGGAGCGCTCAACCTGTTTGTGGTGCCCGTACGGAGACAGTTGTTTTTAAGATGTCCATCAGATACGCCACCTAATATCACGCAGGTGTTTTCAGAAACATCTTTCCTAAGGCCAGGGGGCAACTTGTGGTAACCTCACACGTCAGTAATTGCTACACATTGGTAAACACCAACATGAACTGTGACCACTGTATGCTACTCTGGGAATAACGGGAATGCTACAACTATTACACCTTTACACAGAATCGAGCCAGAGGCAGCACGTTGCATTAAGCACTAAATTAAAGACATTCTTGTACTGAGGCCTGGGACAACTGGAAGTGAAAACACATGAAGAGAAGAACGTCGTTACCTTTAATAAGTTAAAAACCAACCAAGCACGGAACTCGACTTTAACAGATGGGTCGAACTACATCTACTCCCTAACAGTGTGCGCTTTTGGGGAAAGCCTTGTTTTTGACACTGGGCTTGACAAAGTGATGATTCATCCAGGGAAGGATGGGCAGCTTGTTGCCAGCCTTAATTCACAATTAACAATAGGACAGCCGGATATGGGAAACTCATGATTCAACACAAAAATTGCAGTCTCAGCCATTTTACCTGACCTTTACATTTTCCAGTGGTAATTTCTAATCTGGATGTATTTTAAATAGTCTCTCCAACATACATTTTAAGACGAGTTAGCTTTTCTTTCATTACGTTTGTCCTCGAGGATAGTGGTCCTGATTAAATACATAGCAATTGACTTAATCGCATCATCTGAAATGGCAAAGGTTTAAATTACTCGAAAAAGCAAATAGCACGCATGCACACAGATGGACGTGCACATCGGTACTGCGGGCAAGACAAGTTGAGCGCTGCACCTATGCACTCTGTGACTGCGCCGCCAACCCCACTCCCTGCAGGCCCTGCCAGGACGGCCATTGTTTTGCACGGGGGAGTCTGGCCACTCCGAGGAACAAAGGGATGCCCTTCCCAAAACACAGAGGCAGCAGATGTCCTACACAGAATCCCGACAGCCTCAGCCTCCATAGGCGCAGCCAGACGGTCTTAGTTGGGAGGCTACACCAAGCCATCCCCTCAGGCAAGCTCTTCGGGACAATGACCCTGTCCTGGAAAACCCTTCCCTAAGTCTCTTCTCCAAAAGTTACACGACAGCTGAATTTAT